GAAAGCAGGTCGTGGGGGTGGAGGGGTACCGGAGAGGGTGGGAGCACCGGGGGGCGGGGAGGCACCTCGGGCCACCGAAAGGGCGGGCAGCCGGACTTTCCTCGTGCACCCGGCGGCCGGTTGGGTCTCGTAGTAGCCCCGGGCGCTAATAAGGGCCGGCGGCCCCTCACACGGCCCCTTGGGAGCCGCAGGAGAAACGTCCCTGAGCCTCCACACAAGCACTCTGCCCTCGTCCTTTATCTTGGTCTGGTTTTCATTCGTTAAAAACGTCTTGGTCCAGTAACATCCCACTTCTGAAACTGCTAGAATGTATGTTTACTGAAAAAATATAATTGTGAATTCTTTGAAGGCTTAATTTTTATCTGTAACGGTCCTACTGTGGTTACCTACTGGCATATGCACAGGTGCGGATATCTTATCTTTATTTCACTGTGAATATGCCGAAATTATGTTTATATTGTGGATGATAAGTGCTGCTTGAATACGTTTGGCTTTATATTAACATCTTTTTATGGTAATAGTTTTAAAGGACACACTGGAAAAAAGAGGTGCTCTTGGACAAATAAAAGCAAGGATCAGAGCTGAAGTTTTTAATGCACTGGATGACCAAAGTGAACCACGGCCACCACTGTCTCATGAAAATCTCTTAATCAACGAACTAATTCGTGAATACCTGGAATATAACAAATATAAATACGCAGCATCTGTTTTAACTGCAGGTATTGGGGCAGAATTTTTGTCATCACTGTATTAATAGACATTTACTATTTAGTTGAGTAATTCCACTGATACTATAAAATTAATAAGTGAGACCAAGCTGCACAGTCTTGTGTTCCCTTGGAAATACGTAAGATACAAACATTCTCTCCACGGCTTTACTTGCAGCATTAAACCAAATGATACCATTAGTTTTCAAGAAAACTTACCCTTTGTTCCAATCCTTGAGGTAAATACTTTAACAGAGCAGTTGATGCAAGAGCAAGAAAACTTACTAGCAGCCTGCAAAATCAAAATACCTTTCTTGAAATACCTGCTTTTGTTTTGGAAAATGGCTAACAATATTTTCAAAGCATATATCACCTTTTTTTTCTCATCGGCATTTGGGTGAAATAAAAAAAAAAAGAAATCCTACAAATGAACAAAATTTGTTTGAGGAATAATTTAAACTAAAAAAATACGTACATAAAGTAGTTGATAGTCTGAATTAAAGCAATTCTGGCAATTCATGCATATAGACTGTATCAGAAACGTGGTTAGATGTCCTCAGCTTAAATAACAAAAAAAAAAAAAAAAAAGAAGGTCCATATTTTTTAACAACTGCAGTTAAGTATTACTGTTACTGGCTGTGCTAAAATACCAATATTTGAGAGCTGTTTAGACTACATCATCTAAATGGTAGCCGTAATTTATATGGTGCAGCACTTAATTATTTTTGCAGCTATTGCTAACTTGTATTTGAAATTTGAAGTTCTGTAGTTGTGCTTAGATACAGTAATTACATTTGGTATTTAATAATTTGATATATTTCACTCTATTAGAATTACAGGCACAAAGGTTCATCTGGAGAAGAGGGAATGGAGACAGTCTGTATAGTAGTTAATATATGGAATCTGTTTGATAACAGTACTTCTTCAGAGAAAGGGTTTGCCTGATTAATTTATCTTTATATTGTAAGACTTCTTTAGTATTTTCCTTAGATTTCTTTAGAGTGAAGATAAAAATTGTAATATGCTATTGTAAATTATATGAGTATGAAGGACTAATGTTTAAGTGAGTTCCCTGGAATTACAATACACTGTTAGATATTAATAGTCTAAAAGGGAGGTGTGTGCTCTCATTCTCTTTTGAAGTCTCGTGAGCAGTCTTTAAAAGTTAACTGGTGATGTTTTTCTTAGCAGTCTTAAGAATTTTGGGGAAATCTCTTTTCCAGAGTCTGGCCAGCCTGAAGTGCCCTTGGATAGACAGTTTCTCGCCAAAGAGCTGAACATAGCCGAAGACGCAAATGGAAAATCAGTGTAAGGAGTGATTTTGGAATGCACAGTATATTCTGTTCTGCATATATTTTTCTCTTTAGTGTTATTATAAACACGTATAAATGTTCTCACCAATTGAAAGGTGACTAGATCACAGGGCTGCTCCGACATGCTGGATTCAAACTCACAATGTCGAACATGGGGCCATTTTCAAACATACTCAAAACTAATAATTCTGCCAACTCTATAGCTATAGCATTCTCCAGATAGTGTACTTGCACACCAAAACACAAGTCTCTTACCAATACAGTCTTCCCGACAGTCAGAAGCAGAAAACAGATACGTTCTTTGCATATCAGTGAGTTGCTTTGTAGAGCAATAAAAAGATTATTGTACTCTGAGAGTAGACACAAATTTACAATGCTCCGATACGAATGCATTAATGAGCTAGGGTACTGAAGCAGGTTTAAACACGTTCAGTGTTCTCTGTAGCTTGTGCTGTCAGGTGCTTAGGAAGAATCGAGTTTGGGATGTGCAGCCCGCCGAAGTCTGATCCTTTGTACTGCACGAGTGTGAATGTGGATCTGTGTTCCTGTGCTAAGCATGCTCAGGTTCTTCACCTACAGGGGATCTGGAGCTTAGTTGAGAGTGTCTCTTAGAGCAAATTTTTTAGGAGAGGGTTGGTGTTCAGGGTGGGCTTAGGTCTGTGCTTACTTATATAATGACACTTCACATAATGTATTTTAAATAATTATTCTAAAGACATCTGTACATATTCCAGACGTAAACATTAAGGTCTCAGAAGTTCTGAGGAAAGGGTGGTTTTTTAATGCTCAATATTTCATAGACTGCTTTTGTCATTTCTCTCTTAAGCAGACCTCTCTTGTACGGAATTATCTCTCATTTCTTATATCGTGGTAAAGAAGAAAGTATCCAGAATAACCTTCCAAAAGCGTCTTTGCTGAATTATCCAAAGCAGAACCTTGGCAAACCACCTACGGAGAGAAATCAAAAAGGTAGGTGTGGGTATGGAGTCATTTTTGCAGAAGTTTTATTTGTGACTAGATTTTCTATACAAAACATATGCTTATAACAGCATAAACATGCAGATGGACACAGTGCACCTCCTTCTCTGTGCAAGGAATGCTTTGAGCTGACACCTCTTTTGTAAGAAAAATTCTTCAGCAGAATACTGTTTATACCTCAAAAATACCATTAAGCTGTGTGACCTGACCATACCTGTTGCTCATGTATTCATTTAAGAAAGGTCCTACTATATCCAACTCAAGAAAGACCCACCCATGATTTCTAAAACAACCTGCATGTGTGCCTTTGTTTAAGTAAGTGACCAACTTACCCCAACTCTTAGGCCTGCTTCTCTCTGCCGGTATGCTAATAGGACAGCAGATACGGCATACAAATCTGATTGCCCTCGGAAGTGCTTGATTGGCTTTCAAATGTGTCAGTAGTAGAACTTTCCCTCTTATGTGGGAAGATATTTTATTTATAAAGCAGACATTTTTAAAAATTGCAGACAGCCAAATGTGTATGATTTCTCAACAGTGCAAGGGACTGTGAAGCTCCTGTTACCTTGTGGTAGCTGCAGCTACTTGTGAGTTACTAGAGGGAAGGGGAAAAAACCTAATTGTTTAGCTTTATTCTCTTGAGGCTTTTGGACTGTTAAAAACTGAAAACTAATTTAAATTGGACAGCTGTTCTATTCTAATTAGTTTTGCTGCTCTGCAGTTACTGGTAAAGACCAGAAAATACTAATATCCCAATTCTCAGTATCAGAAAGGTCATCCACCAAATTGCTTTACCATCTTCCTAAAAGTTAAACTGGCTAAATTGTACTCCCTTATACTATTACAAATCTGGAATGGGTCAGCTAGGGACAGTCTTATTACCCTGGCAATTTAATACAAGAATTTAACCTAAATTCTCAGTAAAGTATGTTAAATGGCAAGTGTATCTCTTTCTCATCTGTACCTAATTTCTATAGAAAGTTCTTAACTCTTTAGCTGTCAGTTTTGTATATGGGCATAAACCTTTTCTGAGGACGTAATTCACATCCCATTAACTGCAGAAGCTTAAGCTCTGAGTTCCTTGCTCTGCAGTAGAACACATCTTGTTTTCCCTTTCTGGTCTACTTTTTGACTGGTTACAATTCACACTGCTTAAGCTACAGAATGAAAGGGATCATTGGTCCAGTTTTTTCCTTCAAAGAGTCTGCTTGGCATATTACTTCACTTTCTACTGTGAGAATTTAGTACTATTGTGTTAGTACTGTCAACTATTTCTTTTGTATCCAAAAATTGGAGAAATACGAGGCCTGAGATATTATTGACATCTAAAAGGTATGAGAGAAGCACTAAACACCTTTTCTTAACAGTTAATTCATTGAGACAATATTGTTTCCCTTCTGCCAGAAGAGGGGGCTGAAGAAATAAAATTTTAATAACCAAAGCTGCTATAAATGATCTCTTTGTTAGAAAATAATTATTCCTATTAGAAATTTCTCCATTTTTAAAAACAAATTCAGTGTAAAGAAGAATTGTTTTGAAAGTATAACTTTGTACCTCAGTTCTGAAGTTGACTGTGTGCAGGGTCACCTTGCCTTGACTCCAATATGCTTTCACATGGGCGTTTAATTGTTTAGAGTTAGTTGCAAAACTCAGGATTAACCATAAGACATGACAGCACATTGCTTTTTGTACTAAACAAAAATATAACAGTTTTAAGGCATTTAACCTTTAAGTAACTATAGTCTGAAATTACTTTTCTGCGTGTGTTTGTGGAATATGTCAGTGGAGACCTAAAGGCAGTGCGTTTAAAATCCTAATTACCTAGCTATTTCAGTTAGGCTGCATATTACGGTAATCAAGTCCATTCATAAACTCAACCCTCCAAGTCTCATATTTTAACATCTAACTTACTTTTCATATTACTGTCAATTATCTTGTTTTTTAGTTGAATGAATATTCCAATAAACCGGTATACAGAATGGGAATCCTGATAAAACGTGTGGAATCTTGTTTCTGTTAGTTCATTCACTATAGCTGAGTTGAAGTTGTCTGAAATCTAATCTTTAGTAATGCAAAGCTCTTACCTCATACAGTTGCATGGAAGAATATATTTGTAAAATTGCCCGAGTTTCCTATGATGATATTCTGTATCAAAGTTGATAATAGTAGAAAATAACACTTATACTTTTGGATCTTCAGATGTGTGAGAATATTAATGTCTGTGTTTCATTTTCAGATAGAATTCCAGAACCAGGAAGAATGGCTGGCATGAGCATCGAAGAGCCCCTTGTTTTACAAAGTATAAACAGATGATATCTTTCATATGCTAATTTCTTATGTAAAGTTCTGTAAGAGTTAATTTAGGAAATTCTTCTTTGCATAAATTTTCTCAGTATGTCTAGTGGGACCGTGAGACAGGATGATGGGGTCATACTTATTGTCAATGACAAAAATGTTAGCAAAGGCTCTCCTCCTCCCATGCTGATAGAAGGAAACTGTATATGAAGTCAGATTAGTGAAGCCTGTGTCCAGAATTGGGCCTAAAAATACTGGTTTTGCTTTATAAGAATTTATCAGATAACTTATCATTTCTGCACTTTCCTTATTATGTCTTTGTGGGTCTTTCCTGTGTTTCTGAATAAAATTTTTCAGTTCTACTCTGTGGGATATTTTGAAAGTGTTCAAACTAAGCATTTTAATCATTCTTCTTTAAAAAGAAGAAGCTGCTACTTTTGGGTAAGTATGGGAAAATAAATTTGAATAGAAAATTAAAGTGTTTTAGAGGAATAGTTGTTTTTAATTCTCCGGAAATGAGGACTATATTTATCTTCATGCCAGCAAACAAATGAGGGTAAGTCTTTTCCATCTGGAGTTGCTATAAATTGTACGGTGTAACACTGAGTATATGGGAGGGGATGAACTGGGTTTTTTTCCCCAAACAACATGAAACTCCAAGTCCGGCAAAGCTAAAAATAAAATCAATAGTAGATTACTGATTCCCAGAACTTTTTTAGCTGAGGTATTTACGTGTTTTGAAATGGTAATTCATTTTAAAAGCCAAACTTACAGGGGTACATCAAAAATAACAGGTTAGCTATTTTTCTCTACTCATTTTAACAAAATGTATGGATGTTAATGTTTCCAGTGGTACTGAAAGGAGTTTTGTGTAAATAAATTTTTAGGGTTGTGTTCTTAAAAATCTTAATTGTTAGATAAATGGTACAGTAAGTGGGGAAAAAAAAGGGAGGAAGAGAACATGCAGTTTGTGAATTTAAGTGACAGGACCCCGAGTTGTACAGACTGCAAAGTTTTGCCTTTATCTTGATTTGACCCAGTTAGCATTACAGGTATTGCTTTATTTTGATAAGCAGCCTAGCCTCTACTCTAATGTGAAATTGCAGAGAACAGTTATGGGTTGAAAGAAGAAGTTGCATTTATCCATTTGAAGCCTCAGCAACGAGTTCATCCCCTTCGTGTGACTGGCAACGCTGCCAGCTCCCATTTGCTGATTTATAAGTATCTCAGGACTGTTTCCAAGAGGGGAGGGCATGTGCTTGCAAATATACCTCAATCAAATCCATCTTTAAGTCTTTTGTAGCTTTGCATCAATTATAATTGACCATTGGGTCAAGAAAGTGAATTTATCTTTGTACGCCCTCGCTGTTTGCTCTGTGCTAACACCACCATCAGGTTCAACTACTTGGCTGAAGATCCATCTGTGTAAAAACTACCACCACGGGATTCTGCCTCGTTACTAGGGTCTTTCCTGCCACATTAATGCAAATATTCACAATCACTAATCTCTCTCTTAATTTCTCTGTCTAGAAATACAGTAGAAGAATGGTCTTCTAAGCTGTTACTTGAAAATTGTCTTCATTTTGGAATGAGCTGAAAGTACCTCTATGGAAAGTTGCAAAAATGAACTTTTGAACAACGCAGATATGATTGCTCTGGCCAGAGAAATACCTAGATTCTTAACTTTGATTTTCCAGAGATTAATTGCTAGACCTCTGTTTCTCCATAAACCAGTGGGTCAAAATGTTACGTATATTTGGAATCTGAATTGTCTTTTCAAGGCAAGGAAAAAGGCTTTGGGAAACACACAAGCTCTAACCTTCTATGCTATGCAAATCTTCCAGTGTAACCAAAGCCATTGCGTCTGCTTTCTGTAGATAATACAGAAGCTGCCCAGGTGCCATGGAGCTCCCTGGGAAATGGATTTTTAGTGGTACAAATTAAATACAATTTTTGTTCTGGTTGAAGAAGGCAAAGAGATGTTTGGTACTTGCCCTTTCCCAAGCACACAGCTCAACAGAGTGGTCTCCACAGCCATGAAAGCAGAGGCCATTACAAGGGTGTCCTTCACTGAGCTTTGAGGTAAAGGTGTATATCTGAAATCAGAGAAAGGAAAAAAAAAAAAAAAATCTGTTTAAGACAGAGAGAAACTCGGGACTATTTTCTTTAGGGATTGCAGCTTCAGCCCATTGTCAGGATCCTGTGCTAGGACGGTGGGTGGGAGCTGGCCCATTTGCTCTTGGTGCAACGTGCATTTAGTCTAATTCTCTAATACCCTCACAGTACAGATTTGGGTTTTGGAACAATCTTGTTTCAAAGTATAGTCATTGTACAAGCAAATTGAAATGAAAGTGTATTTCCAGTGATACTTGTTTGTACAACAAAGCTTTGAAATATGTCCATGAAAATATACTGGCCTAATCACATTATTAATGGTCTACATTTATGCTGACTGTACATGAGATATGAGAGCATCTTTCGAGATGCAGACATGTAGCGAGTTCTGTGAATGTCAGGCTGCCTTACTTGTTTGTGGATGAAGAGGGATTGCAAAGCCTGTATAATATGGCTGCACTTTCCAAAAAATCATTCCTTAAAAGTTTAAGCTAAGCGAGGTCAGTATTTAGATGAAAATAATTCCGAATCCTAGAGTCACAGGTTCAGGTTTTAGATGAAATTGCCACCTAGGTGAGCATGCACAAAAATATTTTTCTCAAATAATTTAAGAAGCTCCGTCTACCTTAATTATAGACTGTGATGTCTTGCATTAACTGCCCTTATTCTTTTCTATCAGAAAATGGGGAAAAAAAAAAAAGATATAAGCATGTAGAAGTTTGGCGGGTTTAACAAGCAAAATACATTTCTGAATTTTATTGGATACAGAACACCATAACTGAGACTGTTAGGGAGGGAATTACTTTAAAAGAGGCTGTTCTTTGTCTAAGCGTGGTATCACAAGTGGAAGTGACAAGGAGCCAGTGAAGTTTGGTGTGGATACCAGACCTGGAGAGCACTTTGGAAGAATTTAACCCACAAGTTTAAAAAAAAAAAAAAAATAATTCTTTAAAACCAAATTTTTGCTCTCCCCTAGAATCAGAGGAAACGATGTTTATAGGCTCCACAGCATCAGTGCTGTTTCAGAGGTATTAGTTTCTGTCGTGCACAGGGGAAATTTTTTTTTTAAGCTTTATCGACACGCTCCAAGGAGTCGGTTACGCTTTCCTTCCTGAGCGCCCTTGGTATCATGCTGAATCTGTCAGTTGATCAGTTTTCCGGAGGAGTAATTATCATTGAGTGATTATGTTTAGGAAAGGAAACCCAAAATATTTGTTCACACTTGCAAAGGCACCCTTTCAGTAGCAGCTGGTGTCCAATTGATTCAGAAATGACCTGTGTGCTTCACATGCTTCACTTGACCTGCAGCCAGCATTAAGCACAAAGCTTAACATTAAGCAGTCGGTGACTATTTTACCTCGTCAGACTACTCTCATGATTAATTGTTCTAGTTTGGACGCAGACTGTCCCTCCTGTTGCAAGAGCACAGCTCAGCACAGGCGGTAACCCACCGGTATGCTTGTCAGATCCAATTACATACGTCAGTTTAGAGAAACATGGTTGGTAAACTTGGGTAAAAACATTTTTAAACAAAAAAAATTGTTTACCTGACACACATTATTTAACAAACTAACAACACTATCCATGCTTTTCTTTTTTCCCCTCCATTGTATTCAGGTTATACCGTGGTAAGGCAGCTGAAAGTTCATTTCTTTCCTTCTCAAGTCCTCCTTTTCCCCCCCCCCC